TTGCATGTGCTGGGCATGTGCACGACTACCCCCCAGCCCTACTGGTCTGTGTTTACCACCCATCTTCTCCACTGGAATGCAGGGACTCCTATCTTTGCTCACTGCTGAGTGCCCAGTACCAGAAGCATACCAGGCTCACAGGAGATGTTTCAGAAATGTGAACCAGGATTTACATCCTTCTCTCCAGGGGCAGGTGCACAGGTACACATGGACACTTACACCTGACCCCTCCCTGTCCTGACACCTTCTCCTGCAGCTGGACTTTGCCCTCATCTGGTGGCCTGCCCTGCCCAGAGCCCACACAGTCCCTCCACAGCAGGCAAGGGGAACTGGTTCTCTGAGCATCTGAGGCAGGATGGCTGCTCCTCTCCCTCCCCTGGGTCCCCACATGCAAGAAGACTCAAGCTGAGTTAAATTCCTTTGATGATGAGTATCAAGGAGGGGGACAGGCAGGCCTGTCCCCTTAGCAGGGCCTCAGCACTCCTCCATAGTTTCCTGACCCCAGGTCACACCACAGCTGTTTATCCTTCTGCTTCCTCATTCTGGAATGTCCACTAGGGGACAACTCAGACCCTTCAGAGACGAGTTCAGGTGATACCTCCTAGGCAAAGCTTTCTCTACCACCCAAGCTCCCCCAACCTCTCACGACTCTGCGTCAGCACCTCCCTTATCCACAGCACACCTGAGCCAAATGGTCGTCTCTTCTCAAGTCCTTGAAGCCCAGGCCACAGTGCCTGGCCATAGCACATGTCTAGGAAGTTAGCTGATGTGAATGTCCATAATGTCCACCCTGGGACAGAGAGAGGGTGCAAGTCTTGGGGTCAGCACCAGATCTGAAATCAAAAGCCCAAGCTCATTCCTTATTAGACTGTGTGCCCTTGACCAAATCACTGAGGCTCTCTGGATCTCTGTCTCCTTATCTATAAAACGAGGATAAGATAGTGCCCAATTCACAGAGCTTAAAAGAATTAGAAACTCTATATGCACAGCGTCTGTGCTTAATTAATGGTAGCTACTACTACTAGTACTGCCCTCTATGGATATGGCAGGAGAGGCAGGGCCCTGGACAGGCATGTCCAGCAGAGCACTCTGCCCAAACTGAGAGTTCACCAGTCCTGCTGGAGACAGGAAGGGCCCTAGCCTCAGGCAGCTGGCCAGGGATGGCACATTTTGAGTTTTCCTGTAATTCAGGGTTCAGTGGCTCCTGCCCTCAGCCTGGGAACAGCTGGCCTTCTAGCCCCTACCTGTTCTCCCATAGAAGGTTTGGAAAGTTGCCCAGAGAAGTGGAAATTTAAGGAGTGGAGGGCATGGCAAATAAGAGCACAGAGCCAAGGCCTGGCTGTATTTCTCCTTCCTTCTGGGAAAGTGGAAGAGTCAAGTGGAAACAGAAGCTAGATTCTTCACTGAACACCCCTCCTCCCTGTAGAGAGAGGTTCTGTTGGAGCAGTTCACTGAAAAACCCCAACAAGAGGATCTGCACAGCCCTCCCACCTCCTCCCATGTGAGGCCGGGCTGAATGTCAGGGATGCCCCCAGTTCAGTGACCCCATGATGCTGGGCCTACTCAGAGGCCAGTGAGTCAAGCCCAGTCTTTAATGCTGTTAGGTAAAACTGGGGCTGAGGAAGCCCAGTCCCCAACGTCAGTCTGGAAAGAGCTAGTCATGCAGAGGGCAGACCTCTCAATCCTCTCCAGCAAAGGTTGGGGTGGGGGAGCCTCTGGTCAGCATAGGCTCCTCTCAGCACAAAGGCCAGGATTAACTTCTTCCCAGCCAAAGTTCAGAAGGACACACAGCTGGCCGTGTGGGATAACCACCTTATCCTTTGCCCCCTTAGATGGTGGAACCTGAAGCAATTTCTGAGAGAAATTGTGGTCCTGGAGTCAGGAGACAGTTTTCAAATTCCTGCTGAGTGACCCTGATTCTCAGCTTTCTCATCTATAAAATGGAGCCAATAAGCTCCACCACTCAACTGAACAAGGGTGAGCTGCCAAATGTGCAGGATTAATGGCCTCACCCACACTACCCTCCCAAACAAACCTAGGTGTGTGGGAGCTCAAGTGAATGCAACCCCCAGGTATGGAGAGCCTACAGGGTGCTAGATACCAGGTCAGTCCCTGGGGTTGCAGGACCCTGTTCTTTTCCATCAGGGGCTCTAATTCAGGGAGGAAGACTGACAGATAAATGTGTGGTTCACGCTGAGATCAGCATTTTCAGGGAGGAATGAACAAAGGACTGTGGGATCCCAGGGAGGTCAGGGAAAAGAGGACATCAAAGCCCAGGCCTTAAGAATCAGCAGCTATCAGCCAGAGGCAAGGAGGAAGGGCATCCCAGGCAGACTTGAACTACACTATTTTTTTTTTTTTTAACATTACTGGTGATTGAACTCAAGGCCTCCCAAATGCTAGGCAAATGCTCTGAGGGACGTTCCCAGCCCTTTTTATTTTATTTTGAGACAACATCTTGGTAAGTTGCCCAGGCTGGCCTCAAACCTGCAGATCCTCCTGCCTCAGTCTCTGAAATCACTGGGATTACAGGTATGCACCAAGGAAATAGGTGAGACTGTTCTTAGGTAATCAGTGGTAGAGTGCTCGCCTGGTACATGTGAGGCACTGGGTTTGATCCTCAGCACCATATAAAAATAAATAAAATATACAGAGTAAGGATATTGTGTCTATCTTAAAAAAAAAATAAAGAACCCAAGCAGTCTGATTCAGGAACCTATAATTCTCAGCCACAATGCTATTATGGCCAGCATGCTAAGGGGACACAGAGGGGCAATTCACCTTGCAGGGTGGAGGCAGCAGTGATGCAGAAATGACAAGCAAGTCACTAAAGGACAAGTAGTGTGCAACTACTGGTGTGTGCAATGGCAGAAAAACATGAACGGCAAGGCACATCCAGTAGCACAATGTTACTGGACCCTAGGATGCACACAGGAGATTACTAGGGAGAAGGTCAGATTACAAAGAGCTCTGTTAGTCACGCTAGGCAATGGAAAGCCATAAAAGAGTTCTAAGCAAGGAAGCAACACAATCAGACTTGTGTTCTAAATGCTTTGCAAAACTGGAGACTGGGTTGCAAGTAGTTGTGACTGGAAGATTATGGGAAGCTAATACAGTCAACCTGGTGAGAAATAAGTCATCAAGAGTGGTAACAGTGGAGAAGGCGGAGTAAGAGGGTCAGGAAGTGAGCTGTACCAGGTCACTTCTGAGATGTAGGAATTGACAGAAAAGAGGAAATGGAAGATAATCCCCAAGTTTCTTGCTAGAGTGGGCTAGCAGAGGAAGAATGAATCTGCAGGAAAACATCAGTTCAAGTTTAGACCCAGTGAATTCTATCTGAAAGGGAGGTGTCCTGCTGGCAACTGGACAGTCTAGTCTGGAGATCCACGGAGAGGTCGTGCCAGTGATTTAGGTACTGAGCTGGGGTAAAGCTGATGCTATATGAGTACAAGAAACCATCCAGAAGCAGTGCATAGAGAGAGGGGTTGGGCAACAGGGCAGAATATGAAGCAGTACTTCTGCCCTCATGTCAGAGGGTTAAAAGAAAGAAATCTGGAGATGCGCTGGAAGCCAAAGGTATGGGGGAGGGACACCTGTCAATTAGGAACAATTGTCAACGGTATTGTGACCTCTAAGAACTCAAGAAAGATACTTTAAAGGGCCCTTTGAATACAGGAAGTTATTCACAGCCCTTTCCAGAGGAAGTTGGGGAGAGAGCGGATGACAGGGAGACGCAGACTGCAAACCTAACGGAATGTGTACGTTCTTCTCCAGATTCTCAGATTCTGACCCCTTCCTCCCCCCACCCCGCCTCCAATACCCAGATACAGTCCCCTCGCCTCTGCCCTCACAGTTAAGAGAGAGGCTTTGGAAGTCGATCCTGGACGCCCTCCTGGGTCTTTATCCGGGCCTTCTCAGGTAGGCGTGGCTGCCGAAGGTCTGAGTCCGAGACCCCCAACACTGCGCGCGGAAAAGTGCAGCCGGGGGCTAGAAGGGGGCGGAACCTGGAGTGCGGGGGGCGTGGGAAAGGTCGGACGGAACCGAGAACGGACATCGGGCAGCGAAGCGGTATCCGCAAGAGATAGCCCTCGTACCACCACCTGGTCCCAGTGACCTCTGCAGGACCCACCTGCTCCATCTCAGCACCGCCTCACTCTCCAGCCCCAACTGTAGTCCGGCTCCCGGGCCACCGCAGCGCCTCAGAGCGGAAGGAGATCTCCATCCGCGCCACTTCCGCCGCTGAGCCCGCCCCCAAGAGCAAACTAGGAATTGCGTTCGGCGGCAGCCTCTCCCCCAGCCCCGCCCCCAGCCCACGCCCCCAGGAGAAGGGCTCGAAGTAGAGTTGCAGTGTGTTAGGTTTAAAGAAGTCTTCCAGGCAGGCGCGGCGACCCACACCTGTAATCCCAGCGACTCTGGAGGTCGAGGCAGAATGACTGCACATTTGAAACCAGCCAGGGCAACTTAGACCCGTGTCTCAAAATAAAACGAAAAGGGCTGGGGTTATAGCTGTGTTAGAGCATCCATGGGTTCAATCCCCAGAACCTAAAAATAAAATAAAAAGGACTGGGAATGTAAAATCCTCTCTCCCGACAGCCCTCGCCCCAGTCAATGCCCAGTACTGGGGGTGGGGGGCCATGAGAAGTCTCCCTAAGGCTAGGAGAATGGGAAATAGCATGGGTATTGGACCACACAGGTCTGGCATTGTGGAACTGCCTGTGGGGAGATCTGTGAGAATGAAGAGCCAGTCCCTTCAAGAAGGCCACAGTTACTCTTGATGGACTTCTATTCTCCACCACCTCACCTTTCAGCCATCATAGCAGTAGTCAGAACTTCTGTGGGCCCTCCTGAGTGTCTCAGCCTGTTATCTCCAGAAAAACTCCCGGAGGACTGGACACTAGGGTGAAGGTCCTGACCCTTGGATGACTACTAACCTTCTATATCAGAACACTCCATTATTTCCCTTCTTCTCCTCCCTCCCCTGAAAGAGGAGTCTCAGCACAGTTATTTACAAAGATTTATTACAGCTTGGGGGAGATTCAGGTCTAGAGAAAGGGAAGAAGGAGAAGGGGACAGAACAGCTGGAGGACAAGGAAATCCTGGCGCCCCCCTCCAACGTGTGCCCCTTCTAAGGACATATACTAGGTGGCATTCCTGGCATCAAAGCACAAACAAAATGCAACAAAGCAGCCTCTGCCAGTCCATCTTCCAGGCACCCAGGAGGAGCAGGGGTGATAAAGGGATGAGTTCCAAAACGTGGAGGCTGTGGAGAAAAAAGTCTTGTCCTGGGTCCTGGTAGAAGCCAGTGAAAGGGGTAGTGACTTGGAGTTTTCCAAAGAAGAGGGGATGGAGAAAGATCTAAGGGCACCTGCAGGTTCTCAGTACCTCCTTTCCCCAGATCTTAGGGTCCTGCCCTGTGGGTCTCCTGTGCCCAGGGGAGAGGATCTGAGGAGTGGAATTATAAAGGGGCAATCCTTGTTTTGGGTTTCTGATTTTTCCAGCGTGGGCTTGCTCATATCCCACCTCCCACTGGGTGAATGGAGGAACAACTGGCAGGGATAGGCATCAGAGACTCTGGGCATCAGCCAAGGGCGGGCAAACAAGCAAACACAGACCAGCCTTAGTCTTCTAGAACTTAGAAGCCGCAGCCCTAGCAGGTGAGGGGAAGGGTACAAAACAGGATGAGGGCAGAGTGGGCTTCTAGGGAAGAGCGGTGCCCCCTCCACTTCCTCTGGGGAGAGGCATGATTGGGAACTTAAGTGCCAGGCTCAGGAGGGCTGGGGCGCTGAGGCTCCTCCCCTGGCTCTGCAAAGCAAATAGAGAGGAAGTCAGGGCCTGGCCCCACCCCCCAAGTTTCCCACTCCATCTCTTCGTCCCACGCTCAAAACCTTACCATTTAGTGCTGCGTCTTCCAGTTGGTCCTCAGAGGTTCCATCTCTCTGAGGCTCATCCAGAGGGGGCGGGCGTTCCCAGGGCCCCTCCAGACCCTGGCCATAGCTTATCTTCTGCCCAGCTAGGGGTGGAAGACAGGGAATCATAACACAAGCTTTGATGGGCTGGAGGTCTAACTCTGTGGTAGAGCACATGCCAAGCACATGTGAGACCCTGGGTTCCATTCCTTCACTGCAAACTAACCAACGCAGGCTTTGAGTGTCCATCTGGATGTCCTGGAGAACGAGCTACTCTGATGACTGAGGCCAAGCTTTCTGAGTCACCATAGCATAGTGGAGAGAGCACTGGACTAGAACAACTCTTCCAATGACTCAACATATGATTTAGATACTCAGCCCATACCTTGCTAAAGGAGATGTTGTGGACGAGTGACATTATGTAGATTACCTCAAATAAGATTATGAGATAATGCCTGCAGAGCCCAGTGCCAGCATTCAGGAGTGCTGGGGGTTAATGTTGCTCCTTGGTAGTCTTGTCATGTGACCCGGTGCCCTCCTGCTTGTCCTGGGAAACTTGACCCTCTCCCTGTGTCCTGGGAGACTGGTCCCCTCTCCCTGCTCTTGGGGTCTCAGTTGGAGCTAAGTTAACAATTCCAGTCCTCTGGTCCCCTCACTGTCAGAGATGGATGCAGAGAGGTGACCCAAGCTATCTTGTTTGGGTTTAAGGGTTAAATACTTCAAGCAGAGATAGTCAGCTGTTTGTCATTCCCATAAATAATGATACCACAAAGTTTAGGGTGCAGTAGGAGGGATAGATGTGGCACAGCCTTCCATGGCCAGGCTGGAAGAAATAACTGTGGGAGGGGTGAGATCTTTCTGCCCAGAATTCTGTGGGTTTTAGGATGGCCCATGGAGATTTTTGGACCTGGAGCCTCTGGCTTCAGGCCCCTTCTATGGAGGTTTTAAGCTTCTCTCTGGTCCCTTTTCCCCAGGCAGCTGAGGTCAGAGATGCAGAGGACCAAATTGGTTCTTAAATCTAGATTCTCCATCTGGACACTAGAGGGCACCCTCCATCCCCCTAGGAAGGAAAAGGAAGAAACAGTCATTGGGTCCTGGAGAGGGCAAATCAGCCAGCCCCCTGCATCCCAGCAGAGACCACATCCCAGATTCAGAAATACAGGCACTGGGGAAATTGGGCTCTCTCAGTCCACTATCCCTGAATCTCCTCACATCCTCTCGTTGCTCTTGTGTGGAAAGTCCTTTTTTAGTTCTTTTTTTTTTTAGTTGTAGTTGGACACAATGCCTTTATTTATTTATTTACTTGTTTGTTTGTTTTATATGGTGCCGAGGATCGAACCCAGGGCCTTGCACATGCTAGGCGAGCGCTCTACCGCTGAGCCACAACCCCAGTCCCCCTTTTTTACTTCTAACCTCAAACCCTCATGTGGTCTTGCCTTAATTCTTAGGGAAGAGAGGAACCATTAAGGAAAATCTGATTGTGAGAGGAAAAAGCCAAGACTGGAGGAAGCCCAAGTCATAGGTGAGGTTAAGTGTGAGGAATTCTGTGGGGCGGGAGGAGGGGAGGCCCCATGGTGTCATTGCCGTGTACCTGTATGAAACTGTTCCAAGATCCTCCAGGAGCACCCACGCCTAATGCATGGTGGAGGAACCCACGCCTCACAGTCCCTTCAGCTTACCAGACCCCCTGATGCTCTTTAGGACTTCAGCCTGGCTGTCTTCTTCTTCCTCCTCGTCCTCATCCTCCTCCTCATCCTCATCCTCCTCTCTTGGGTAACCCAGCTCCCGCAGCTCTCCCAGCTCATCCTCCTCCTCCGAGGCCTGGTTCTCACTCAAGTTGCTGATGGTCTGCAGGTGGGACTCAGCAATGCGCTGCACGGCTGGCACAGAGAGGACCCCGGAAGGCGAGGGTCAGTCAGGCCCAAGATACAGCCCCCAGAGCTCCTCCCCATGAGTCTGGGGTAGGGGTAACTTTCTCAGGAGACACAGTTCAAGGGCCAAAGGCTACAGGCCAGCCTGCTGGAGGCCAGACCAAGGCAGAAGCAGCAGGGGGTAAATTTGATCACGTTTGATTCTTAAGCTGTCCCAAGATATTGGCCACCCCCAGAGACTGGCACCACAAAGCAGTCCCACACCATAGGGTGCCAGGCTGGGCAAGACCAGACCCGACAGGCACAGCAGCAGCTAACCATGCCCTGGCTGGGGAGCTGGCCTTGCCAACCAGCCAGTCCTGGAGACAGTATCCACCAGGTGGAAGCTGCTGTCTGCGGGCTGGGGCTTTGCTCCTTTCCATTTCTGGCGGAGAACCTTGCCTGCTTAGGGCTCATGGCTCACCCCAGTCCTCATGCAACACCCCACCACCACCAAACCACCCCGTCTTAGATGCCAATCCACACATCCCTGCCCCAGGCTCCAAGAGTAGGAATAATTGATTCTGGATTGAAGATACAATAGTCTGCAGCCAATGAAGTCCATGCCTGGGGAAGTGGCCTGTTCAGATGCAGCCCCCACAATCTTGACCCACATCCCCAAGCTCCCAGCTCCCTCTGCGGTGACCTAGAAAGCAGCAAACACACCCCACCGCCACCAAGACCTGCTTGGATAGGGCCTAGGAAGGGAACAGTGTGGGTGGCTGGAGGAAAGTTTCACAAAGATGGAAAGGAACAGGGGGCTGGGAGAAAAGGGCCACGCCGAGGGTTCTGGGGCGTGACAGGGCTAAGGAAATATCCTGAGCTGAGACTGAGCAGAGTTGGCAGGGGGTCAAAGGCTGGTAGATTTTAAAGCACATGGGACATTCAGTTCATGGCCCCCAGGCCAGACACTGCCCAGCAGGGCAGAGTTGAACAGCTCCTTGGTCTGCCCACCACCCTCCCCTCAGAAAGTCCAGGGGGTAGATCCTGGCTGGAAACCTCCGGTGCAGTGAGAAGGCCCAGTGCTCCTGCCAGCTCAGGGACAGGCACAGAGGGTGCATTGTGTGTGCCTACTGCCCCGCCCTGCCCCCAGCAGCCAGACCAGTGCCTCCCGCTGACTCTGGGCAAGATCCCCAGGCAATAAAAGTGCAATAAGTCATAAACTGCCCTGCCCTGGCCTTGAGCACTCAGCAAAGCTCCACCTCGAACCAAATGTGAGAGCTCTGGCCTTGGAGCATCCCGCCCCCAGCCAAGACAGTGTTGCCCACCCGCCCCTAAGGCCTTTGAATCCTTCCCTACAAACCCCCGTGCCTGCCAGGCCCTTTCCCTGGCCCAGAAAGGAGCAGGATCCTACCAAACAGTGCCCTCTGGGAGAGGGCCCCTGAGGGAGAGAGAGAAGGTGGCAGCTGGGGCAGCTTCCTTTCCCCCCCAGCCGGGGGAGGAGACTCCAGTTCCTGAGCTGCAGTGACAATAGGTGTGTGCAGCACCTGTGCTGGCTCCCGTGGCCTCCCTCGTGCCTCACCTCGCCTGCCTCCCTCATCCTCCCTCTTCCTCGTGCCTGTTTCCCCAGGCTGCCTCCTCCAGCTTCTTCACTTCTGGGACCCTGAACTCCCCCCACCCAGCACGTCTCCCTTTTTTATCTGCAAGAACCCAACATGGTCCCCAGAATGCCCACCTCGCTCCTGACCCCTTTTCCACCTCCCTGCCTCTCCCCACCTAGACTCTTCAAGATGTGACCCAAAGGGGAGTGTGGATGGAGACAAATTCTTGGCCACTGCCAGGTGCATGGGAAGCACCCTGGCCCCAGTCTCCTCACCCCATGTTCCCACACTCACCATTGGGCCCTGGGCTGGGATGTAGATGGGCAATAGAGTGTGTTTGGCATGCGCAAGGCCCTGGGTTCAATCCCCAGCACACCTCCCACCAAAAAGAATCCCTCACCCTACCACTTCCAGGAGGAGGCAGATTATTATGTTCTTTCCTGCAAAGATGCGACCTCTCCCTCATGCCTGCTTTGTGACCCTACAGGTAGAGAAGTCCTTCCATACCTGCTGTGTCCCTTCCTGTCCTGGAGGAAAAGAAAGAACCCCTGCCCTTCTCCTCTACTCCCAGCTCTGGCCCAGACAGGCTGGCAGGTGCACCTGTTGATCTTGGCTAGTGCCAGGGAACAGTTTAAACCCACCCTAGGGAGCTCTCAGCACACCCTTCCGGTCTCCCTCCCCCTCTTCAGGGGAGGAGGGGGCTGGCCAGGCAGGAAGAGACTCAGGCTGGAGTAGAGGTGGAGATGGTAGGTGCGTGGCACTTAGCTAGGAAGAGGCCCTTTGCATACCATATCTGCACCCCTTCTCCCTCAGGTGCATTTCCCACAGTTCCTGGACAGAAGCCAAGTCTCCATCTGGCCCTAAGGCTCCCCTGGGATGCCCACCTCCTGCCCTTTGCAACTTTCTTCCCTTTTGCCTGCCTTGCTGGCCTGTTGGATTCTATATCCTTCCAATCCTGGGTCACACACCCTTCCCTCTTCGAACTCTCGCTGACCTTGGAGGCAAAGGGCCCAGGATGGCGGGAACCAAATCTCATTTTTTCCCAGTGCTAGGGATGGAACCCAAGGCCTCTGCATGCTGAGCACATACTCTACCACTGAGCCACATCCCAGCCCCCAGATCTTACTCATTTTGCCCAGTGCCCACCAGCAAGGCCTGGCACACAGCAGGGGTTCAGTATATGCTACAGGAATGACTTGTCTGTTAATACAGAAAGGAAAAGCAGAAATGGGGCGAATCCTGGATGCAGATCTGTTCAAATGAGAGGTGAAGGGGAGAGAAAAACAGGGGGACCCATGGGAGAAGGTGCCTTTTGATGGGCTTGCACAGTGGAGATTCAGACTGAGTCTCTTTCACCCATTTGTCACTTTGGGTGTGTCTCTTCTTTTGACCCCCTACAAACTGTTTTAAGGGCCACAGCTGCCCTTTCCAGTCTTTGAGCACCTGTGTTTTGCAAGAAAGAGCTGGTCTCCAAGTTGGGTTGCGATGCAGGAAGCAATCACCTCTGCTTGACAAGAGCTGACATTTCACCCCCCTCCCCCACTGTCAGCCCAGTTCCAGGGCTCAAGGAACAGCCAGGCAGACAGGACAGACAGGTGGGATATAGTACCTTTCAGCGAGGGGGGTGTGTAGGCACAGGGATTGGGTCTCTTTGACTTGAGGTGGTGCCCCTCTCCTGAGGCTCTCTGCAAGGGAAGAGCCAGGTTAAATGGACTCCTCAGAGGCTCCTACCCCTCACCCTCTCTCCACTTCATCCTGCGTTGGCAACCCTGGCAGACTGGTCTAGGCTTCGCCAATGAATTCTGCACTGAGGCAGAGCCCTGACCTCACTGCTGCTTTGGGATGGGGGCTCCCAGAAGCTGCGGCTTGGATTAGGACCCGAGGACCTAGGCATCCTACTGTCAGTCTGAGCAGAGGAGGATCTGTTGGGGCGCCCTGGCACCAGGACCTCTCAGAGGAGGTACCCATTGACATGCTGATGTCTCTCCAGGGTGGCACCCTCTGTTAGTTGGCTGGCAATGCAGGCACAGGTCGACTCCACCCCAAAAGGCCCAGGCATCCTCCTTCCAGCTGCCCCAGGAAACTCACCTGGTGGGGGGAGGCCTCCTCCTCTGAGGGAGCCATCAAAGGGACCAGCATCAACAGAGGATCCAGAGAGAAGGGGAGAGGGAGAGAGAAAGAATCCCAGTTACTTTTCACAAAGTCTCAGTCTCTGGGGACAAGGAGGTGTGTCCTTCCTCTTGGTGTTGGGAGGTGCTCTGCTAACCCCTGAACAGTGAGCTGAGCTCCCAGAGCTTATCTACTCCCCAGTCGTTGCTCCTATTCCTGGGACTTTGGCAGGGCCCTCAGGAAGGCATCAGAGTTAGGGTGGGGCCTGAGATGGGGAGGGAAAGAAGGGGCCCTACCTGGTGAGGAGTGCTCTGAGAGCCGGAACAGCATGGCAGGGGTTGGTCTCCTGCGCCGGATCTAAGGAGATGGAAAAAGGAGGGGCAGGATAGACACCTGCAGGATAAACACCCTAGGTCCCACTCCACCCCCATGCCCAGGCCACAGGGAAAATGCTTTGGAGACCCCAGGGAGCCTTTGAATCAAAGGCGATCTGAGCTAAAAGGAACTCTGTAGCTCACTCAACCCTTTCATTTTGCACAGATGAAAACTCTGAGGTTCAGAGAGGTTCAGCCATGTGCTCAAGGTCACACAGCACATAAACTCCAAAGGACTAGAAAAAACCTAGTCACTAACTCTTAGCCCAGGCCCGTTCCATTCATGTCTCCTCCAGAGCTAACATCTCCCTTTTTATCTTCTCTCACTGAGGCCCTTCCTCTCTCCAGTTTCTGAAGACCTTGGGAGCTGTGGTTTAGTCTGTGGTTTGTGCTTCCTGATGCCTAGGATGGGCCCTCTGGAGGAGATGCCCGTGGGTCATGGCACCCACATGGCCCTGCCCATCTAAGAACAGCTCAAGGGCTCCAAAGAAACTGGAACCAGCTACAGAGGGAGACTGAGCCAGGGCACTGTGGACACCTCGGCCTCACACTGAGGCTCAGGTGTGGGTCTGAGTCCCAGATGCCCAGAGGCCTGGGGATATCTCTGGAGGCAGGGAGAGCTCTGGCCCTCTCTGGCAATCTTTCTCAGGCTGTAGAGTTCACCCAGTCCCTGTGAGAAATGAGAAGTTGCCCTCCTTGCCGCAGGAGCCAGGCTGTATCCTGAGAGTGGGGGAATGAGCACTCCCAGCAACTGCCCCCCCCACACTAGCTTGGCAATCAGACCAACTGTCAGTTAATTAGGTCCCTTTTGAGCTCCAGGGAAATGCACAAAGAGAACCAGGTGAGTCAAGCTGAAACTGTCACTTTCCCCTGCCAAGCTTCCAGCACTGCCCTCCAGACCCCAACTCCCAGTATCCCCGCAGAATGACTTGGCCCCTTCTCACTGCTCTGCTAGAAACCAGTGGCATCTCATCAACAAGTGTCCCCTGCTGGGCTGTGGGCTCAGACCTCTGCCTCACCCCCCCCCCACAAACAACACACACACACAAACACACACACACACACACACACACACACACACACACACACATTTGGAGACCTCCCAGCCCCCATGAGGGAGTAACTGGTCACCTTTCCCACCTTGAGGTTAGGGCTCCAGGACCCCACAACAGAAAGAGGTCAGAACAAGGTGCTAGTCACTCCAGGTCAGACACGCAGGGTGCGACTGGAGGCCAGCAGGGCAGTGGGGAACCAGGGTGACAGGCTCAGACTCCTGGGCCGTGTAATAGGGTCAATGTGTGATGTACCAGTTTTCTCACATGTGACCAGCTGTGGAGCTGGAATCGGGACCAGTGGTCCGGGTGGTAACCTAGGGAAAGGAACTAGCCCAGGGCAAGTGTGCAGGGCGGAAAGGACAGTCTCCCAGGAAACCAGCCTGTCTCAGAAGCTCAGAATTCTCAGGCCCGGGGATGGGGGGGGCGGGGAAAAAGTTGCCGAGTCTCCAGCCAACTTCACGCGCTGCCCGGCGCCCCCGCCTTGGCCGAGGCCACGTGCCCTCCTGGCACCCCATCCCCGGACGGGTGGGCTCAGCAGCTCCGGGGAGTGCGCTGGGAGCGCTGCGGGGCGGAGCGCGGCCCCCTTACCATCTCCACCTGGCGGGGGTCGAGTTGGCTCGGGGGTGCGGGCACCGAGAACTGGATCTTCTTTCGGTCCTTGGGGTCCATGGCGGGCGCCTCGGGATCTCGGGCTGCGTCCCTGCTCGGCTCCCCTGTGCTGCTCGGGCCGTGGCACTGCCAGCGAGTGCGTGCGGCGAGAAGAAGGAGGAGGAGGAGGAGGAGGAGGAAAAGGAGGAGGAGGAGGAGAAGGCGGCGGCTCCCGCACAGATAAAAATACCGCGCCGAGCGAGGGGAGGGCGAGCAAGCGCCGGGAGGGCTCGGCCGCCGGGCTCGCCTCCCGCGCCCGGCTCGGCGCGCCCCCCACTCCCGGGCCCGCCGCGCTCCTGCTCCGGGTCTCCGCCCAGGTCCCCGCGCGCCCCAGCGGGCTGCCCGGCTCCCGCGCCCCGGGCTCTGCCTCCTTCCTCGGGCTCCCGAGGTCGCTGCCCGCCCGCGGGTCTTTTCTCAGCGAATCCTGACCTGCCTCTACCTCCCTCCCGTGCCTCTCTTCGCCCCCGGGTCTCTCGGTCTCTGTGGGGCTCCCTCCTCTAGTGCCAAATCTGGGGTCCCTGCCCGTCCCCTCTGCCAGGGACTGGCGCGGGGCGCTGGGAGGGAGGGCGTAGGAGAAAGTAGCCAATGAGCATCGAGAACCGTGCTCCCCTGGGGCTGGGAGGAGGTGTGCAGCGCGGGGCCGGGCCGGGATCGGGGAGCGGCCAGGGCCCCCTGCCGACTCCCCAGAACTCCAGGCTGCATTATTGATGGAGTCCAGCCGGGAGGATGAAGGAGGGGGGGAGAGGGGAGAGGGACAGCGGGAAGTCAGGGACTCGGGCTTTAACCACTCAGTGGCCCTGGTACTTGGAGTTTCATGGAAGGTCTGTGAGGGTGAGGAGAAGAGTACCAGCGTGTCACGCTGTGAATGGGGGTGTCCTAGAAAGCGAGTGCGTGTGAACGAGGTGTGCGTGGGAGGACACGTGTCAGTCACATCGTGGCAGGGAGTATGTGCAAGTGAGTTCCAGGGGCCTGTGGTGCTATAGCTCGGGAATGGGGGGAGCAGTGTGGTGTGAGTGTGTGTGTGTGTGTGTGTGAGTCTACATGAGTAAGTGTGTCAGAGTGTTAAAGATTAGGGTGTGAGTGGCAGGGCGTGGGAGGGCTGCGTGTGTGCGGGGGAGGGTGTGGGTGTGGGGGAGGACGTCAGAGGCTGTCAAGGTGATGGGCAGGCGGGTGCCAGCTTGAGGGGTGGGAGCAGTGTATCCACAGGGCCTATGCAGTAGAGGGGCTCCTGGCTGTGAATGTGAGCATATTCCCTGGGGGAGAGGGGGATGTGTCCTTACCATGATGTACCCTGCATTCACGTGTCTTCTGCCTTTTCTCCCCAGATCTAATGGGGGAGGGGGCAGAGCCAGCCCAGGGGGCAGGTGGGGGGCTGCCTTACCAGTACACGTGCCATCACATGTGTGAGCTGGGTGCATTGAGCAACAGAACTTGGGAGAAAGGTGCTTATGCTACTGAGGTGCAAGCCTCCTTTCTACAGAGGTGCTTGTGTGTGTGTCGGAGGGGATGGGAGGGGAGGGCCACCCTGTGGACTGGAGAGTCCCTGTTTACCTGTCCAAGCCATTTGGTCTTTGCAGGAGCTGGCATTTCCCTCTTCAGGGCTGTTCACCAGGGTGGGACTCTCTGTAGCGACCAAAAGGTGTGTGTGTGCATAGGCGTATGTCTTCCTGGGGCTCTGTTTGTGTTGGCTGTCTTCTCTCCTGGTCACTCTTGGGCCTGGAACAGCCAGGATTCCTCCCTAGCCTCCAACTCCACAGCAACTTTTCCATTCCCAGCCCCAGCACACTGGCTCTTTGGCCCAGGGAGAGGCCAGAGCAAGCTTATGGGGAAATGGGATCAGGGGCATGCAGTTCTGCCCCACAGTCAGTGTCCACTGGGGGAGGGGGTGCGAGAAAGAGTGGTGGGAGGGGCAGAGCTCTGCTCACAGGAATGGGATGTCCTGGCCACTCAGCTCCTTCAACCCAGGCCTGGCTCAAGTCCCTGTGTGTTTGTTGATTTAAATATGTCAGGAAACAGCCGGATACCAGGTTGCTGGCCCAGGGGTGTGGACACCTCTGGCAGCCCCTGACTTGGCCCAGAACCCCTCTTCCAGATGGGGTGTGGTGGGGAGTGGTAAAGACAGGGTTGACCTTAGGAGGTTTAACCTTAGGAGGGGAAGCAAAGGGAGCCTGGGTCAGGGCATGGGTCAGGCAGTAACCTCAACAATCAGGGGGCCGAGGTGGGAGCAAAGGGCCAGTACTGGGGTGTACAGGCAAAGATCACAGAGGGGGATAACAGGGACAGAGGACAGCAGACAGTGATGAGAGGACAGGGATGGGGGCACAACCCCCAGCTGCTCCTCAGCTCCTACGGAAGCTGTGAAGGGCTGGGAGCACACTGTGAGCCTTGTTTGAACCAGCAGGGCCTGTGCCTAGAGGATCTGCTCTGGGAGACCCTGAGTCAGGAAGAATCCTCTGAACCCAGGCTGCACCAGGGAAGGGAGACAGAGCAGAAAGCCTGTCAGCCAGGCCTGAAGATGGGGTCTTTGGAAGTGGAAGGGAGCTCTTCACCGGCTTCGCCCAGCTTTGGCCAAGCACCTGTGCTTCTGACTGCTCAACCCTGGGGCCATGAGGGATGGGGAAGACCGGCCAACAGAGGTATAGACAAGAAGGACAAATAGGAAGGGGAGGGAGGATAGGGACACAGAGCTAGGAGGTTAGGGAGAAAGGGGAGGAGGTAGGAAAAAGCGAAGAGAAAGAGACAGAAAACCCATGTGAGAGATGGAGAGACAAAGGGAGGCAGAGAGGAGAAAGCGTCACGACAGAGAGGCAGCAGACAGAGATGGAGAGAGAGTAAAAATAGCTCAGCATTAAGATAATTGCAGCTCACAGCTCTGCCCTCCGTTAGGAATTAAATGAGGTTTTATTACTTTGATTTTTCTCTCCTGGATCCTACGCGACTTCTTAAGAACTTGGGGAAAAGTTTTTCCGGTGGGCGGCCAGGTGGCGGGGGCTGTGTGGGCGACAGAGGAGGAAGGGAACTGCACTTCTGGGAGCTGAGGGGAAGGGTGGGCAGGGGCAGGAGTGGGTCGGAGCTGGTGGAGGCAGTGAAGCTCAACAGAGGCTGGAGGAGGGGACCAGGGCCAGGCTTGGGAGATGAGGGGCTGAGAAGCTGGGGGCCACAGAGTGACCTGCATTCACTTTGACTTGGGATTAATCATATGCAAATGAGATGTAAAAATAATATGCCACTCCCCAGTTATTATTCTCGAGTTAGAAGCACGGGTGGTTAGGTCCAAGGAACAAATTCAAGACCTCGTTTGACTTAATTCTAATTGAATTATGGGTTTTCTGCTTGGACGGATTAAAAAAAAAAAGTTTTCAGTAGGTGTTTATTAATGCACATAGGTCTGAGAGCCCTGTTTTGAGGCCTGTTCTTCCTGCATTTACCTTCTCATCATTGCCCAGTGCCTGCCACAGAGCCTGGCACACAGCAGACACTACACTCACCTTCTTTGGAAGGTGACTTATGCATGGTGTAGTGAAGCCTCTGCCCTTCTTCTTGAAGATGGTGAGAGGGGACAATCTGGGATATTCCTTCCTGCTCCCCAAGCAAGATATAGTCACATGAACAGAACTTAAAACTGGGGAGTAGGAATCTCAGATTTGTAGTTTACTGTGTGGATTCGGACAAATTCCTTAGCTTCCACGTGCCCCTATTTTCTTACATTTCAAAGCCCACTTTCCATGGTGCCTGTGATGATTTAATAATATAAAACTTAAAGCCCCTAGTCTAGTTCAGGACTGAGGATAGTCCTCAGGATTTGTCTTCCCTGCAGCTATAGGGTGCAGTTCTGAAAATGGCCAGCAGATGGCAGAATCAGCCAGGGTTTGGGCAGATGGAGCTGCTGGCACCATGGATTTGTAGTTGGGCATCACACCGGTGACCTTGGCACCACTGAAGTGAACTGGAGTTGGCAGAGTTGGCATGTGGCAGCTGGAAGGCAAGCCCCTGGAAGTCCTGGGAAGCAGCCTTAGAGGAGCTAGAGAGTTCTGGTTGGGCATTCAGGGGTATCTTTCCTTACCCTCAAGGAGAGATTGGGATGGGTGGAGGGACAGAGAAAAAAATTCCAAGGTCCATCTCTGGGGAAACACACAGATAAGGGAAAGTAGAAGGCAAGGCGCTGTCAGTGGGGACAAGGGTGGTACTAGGACAGGTGGGCCATCATCTGAGACAATTCATTCATTCATCTGTTATGTATCCATTCAATATTTTCACATTGGGTGCTTAGGTGCTATTTTATTATGTTTTGGAGGCACTAGGGATTTTAATTCAGGGGCGCTGTACCACTGAGCTACATCCCAGCCCTTTTTATTTTCTATTTTGTTACAGGGTCTTGCTAAGTTGCCCAGGCTGGCCTCAAACTTGTCCTCCTGCATTCAGACTCTACAGTAGCTGGAATTACAGGTGTGGATCACCAGACCTGGCTAGATGCTTTTAAAAAATCAAGTTTGTAAGGGGAAGATCAGATATCATAAAGATATAGGGAAGATCAGTGGAGTAAAAGGAGATTGAGAGGGAGGGAGGAGGTTCAGGAAAAGGAGGAAATGTGGAATGAATTTAGCAAAATCACTCTATGTGCATGTATAAATATACCACAGTGAATTCCACCTTTATGTACGCACATGTGAGATAATAAAATAAGAAGCAAATAAATAAGTGAGTGACAGGAAGACCAGTAGAGTAAAGGAAGAAAAATAGGGGGAGGCAGGAGGGAAGGAAAATGGGGGGGGGCACTGGATATTGAAATGAAGTAAATAAAATTCCATGCATGTATGATTTCATCAAAATGAACCCAGCTATTATGTATAACTATAATGCACTAATTTTAAAAAGAAAAACAATCAACTTCTTTCAGTTAGAGTTTACATACAACAAAATGTACCTTTTTTTTTTTTTTTTGGTACCAGGGATTGAAACCAAGGGAGCTAAACCACTGAACCACATCCCCAGCCTTTTTTTTTTTTCTATTTTATTTAGAAACAGGGTCTCATTGAATACCTTAGGGCCTTGCTAAGTTGCTGAGGCTTGCTTTGAACTAGAGATTCTCCTGCCTCGACCTCTGAAGCCGTTGGGATGGGATTACAGGTGTACTCCACTGTGCCCAGCAAAATGTACCAATTTTAAGTATACATTTTGTAGTATGCGACCACTACAACACAGATATAGAATATTTCCATCACTCTAAGACGTCCTTTTGCCTCATCGAAGTCAACTCCCCCCCCCACCATGGATGTATCATAACTCTTAGCACGCCAAATTGAAACATGTCCTTCCCACCATTTATCTTTATACTCAAAATATAGAAGGCATTACATACTGTAGAGAGCATGGGTTGAAGAAAGGAGGCAAATACGTCATAGAAATTGACAACGGGTGATGTATATAAAGCATTTACTCTGTGCTGGGCACTGGACTGGGATCTTTATATGCATGATCTCTTTTGATCCTCACTAGTATCATTCCATTTTACAGAGGAGGCAAGTGAGGTTCAGAAGGCTTCAGCCGCTTTGCCTAGAGCCTGCTTCAAACGCCGTCTGACACATCGCTCGTTCTTTACTGCTGTCTTTAACACATTCAGGATGAAAGAGGGCAAGATCGTTAGCATGCACGTGCGCGGTCTTCTCTCCTGCTTGGCATTGGACCTGGACCTTCTCTCCCCTCCAGCCCAGTTTGGACCCATAGTTGGAGAAGCCGAAATCGATGTGCCGAGGCTGCCCTCTGGTGATAGAAAAGAGAACAGTACTATTTGTGCCCTCTGGCGCCCCCAGGTGGGAGCTGGGATGTTGCGAAGACAGCGAGCTGCAGCCCACAGCGGAGGCAGCCTCAGCCCCGGGCACCTGGAGACCCCCTGCTCTGGCCACTGCCTGGTGCCCCCCGAGGTGCCAGCTGAGGCTGCCCCCGAAGAATGCCAGCTGCCTGATCTCTCCGCCTCCCACTCCCTCCACCAGCTTCACACACACTCCAATCCCGGTCCAGTCGGCTGCTTCCATTCCCTGAAGAAGAGGCCCTAAAGTTAAAACAGCTGTTAATTTATAAACCAATTTTTCCGTGACTGCTTAATAAATCGCCAGCAGCTGCTCTGCCCCCTCCTCCTGCCCAGGCACCCGGCCCCGGGGGCTGCATGGAGAAGCTCAAAGCAGCCAGCCTGCCCCTTCTGCCTCCTTCCCCCAGTCCCCTAACCTACCCCCATTTCCCAGAAACTGGGCTTGTTTGGGGGAACCCCTGGTGAACCCATATTCTCTGGTCTTCAGTGGAGTACTGAGATGAAAATAGGTTTTCTTTCCTAGTAGGCTGCAGCCCGAAGGCCACTCCTCCAGTGCCCCACAACCTTCAGCCTAGACTCCCAAGCCCAGACGGTGGACATCAAAGGTTTCCCTAGTTCTGAGGAAATGGGGGTGTCCAGATTCCCTGGAGAAGATCCCCTGATCCACTGGGAGGTAAGGGGATCTTGGTCTGGCCCAGGGCTCATCCCTGAGAGCGCAGGAATCTCAATTTCCCCTAACAGGGTGGTCCCTCTGACAGATGCTAACCGACTCCCTGACCCTGCTGTGTTCTCAGGGGTGGGCTGGGAGGGGCAAGGGATGCTGGGATATCGTCCCACTCTAGGGAAATGCCCACACACACCACCCTCAGGATAGTGGAGGGGAGGGATTTGGGCCTCCTGATCATTCACTCTGCCTGGCTTCTGCTAGTATATAAAAGGGAACAGGAAAATCCACATGGAGGTGGGGTCCATGTGACCACCAGGCATAGGACATGTTCTTTCTCCTTGCACCTGCATCCAGGGTGCAGATCTGCTGGACATGGGGGTCCATCCAGCCATGCCACAAGCTCAGTAAAATGGGGAGCAGGGGTGTAAAGCACACCAGCTCAGGAGTTCAAATCCTGGTTCTTCTACTTTACTAGCTATGTGACCTTGTCATTCATACCTGTCTTTCTTCCTTCAAGGTCTTCACTTACAAAATGGGGATAACAAAATTGTGAAAGCTAAGCAAATTGATGCATATAAGCACATAGGGGGGAAAGTGATTTATTACAAGATGCTACTTAGGGGCTCAGCGTGTGTGTGTCAGTGCTAGGGTGCTTGTCCTCAGATCCATTCCCAGCACCGGGGGAAAAAAAAAAAGTGGTATTTATTTTTCAACTCCCCTGCTGGAAAGAGCCCTCTGGAGTTCCTGGTTATCCCCACAGCAAATCTTGGGGGGCAAAAGGGCCCAGAGAATTTCTAAGGGAAATGGGGGAATAGAGATGATGGGGACAAAATTAAGTAAAAAACCCAACTAGATCTCTGGGTTACATGTCTTGCAGGAGCTTTCTCCTTCTGGGCTCTTCTATTTTCCCCCATCCCTTTGCCCCACCCCTGACTCCACTCCAGCAGCAAAAGTTGACCCTTTGCCAACAGGCTCCTGAAATTGGAAGGAAAAGGATCCACTCCACCCCTGCTCCTGGTTCTCCTTACTAATTTAAAGCCCTTCCATTTCATCTCCTGTTCTCTGGTCAGCAAGGGTTGTCATGACTCCCTCCTGCCCCAAGCCCAAAAGGAAGGAACATCAGAGAGCCTGGTGAACTCTGCTGTCCCACACTTAGTTTGGCCTTACTATACCCTTCCTGGGTGTCCCAGAGCAACTTAGTCAACCTTTCTGAGCTTTGGACTCCACATCTCTAAAATGTGGATAATCCCAGAACCTAGCTCCTGAGTTATTGTGATTGGAATGGGGTATGGCTGATGAAGGTTTTTAGCACAAGGTCTGGCTCACAGCGGGATCTGCAGACATGGTGATGGAGAAAGGTGACAGTAGGGGTGATGGAATGAATGCAGGTGCCAGAATTGAACTGTCTGGATTCAAATCCCACTCCTCAGCACCGTGAGGCGACTTTGGGCCAGGTTCTTGGCTTTCCTGTGCCACTTCTCCATCCATAAAATGGGGACAGTAACAGAATCTGTGTCACCTGGTGATTGTAAATGACAGTTCTTCAGATACACAAATGATCCCTGAGTTGTTTTATCCACCTCATTAGAGGCTGACCTTCTGTGACTTTGCCCCACCCCAAGGCATTTTGGTGGCAGGAGATTGGAAGGTGATCACTACAAGACTGGAGACCCTGGCATGGGGGTCCAGCTCAAAAGAAGCCCACAGTCCCCACCTCTGCACTGTGCCCAACTCTGGCATCCCCTTTGACCCATTGGCTTTGGCACAATGGGTTCCCTCTGCCTCCCCTGGTCAATAGCCCCGTGAAGCAGCCAGCCCCATCCCGGTGCCTGGGTCCTGAATACCTCCTGGAAATAAAGCAGGGTCCCCAGGGTCCACTCAAGCCCAGGACTGCTCTGCCAGGGTGCCAGCTGGTGCCCACAGGGGCGGGGCAGTGGTTGATCATGTGTAAAGGGAAAGCTGGAGGCACCCCCAACCTTGGTGGCCCCCACCAGAGACAAGAAAAGGCACTCAGGACATCTCCTGGGAATA